GTGCACGGCCGCGCGCACCCGCCGGTGCGGGACGAGGCCGCGGTGGCGCAAGAGGCGGGGATCCCGGCCCTGATTCGGCAACGCACGGTGAAAGCACTGCTATATACCCGTGCGCGCTTGCGGCGGCCGGGACACAATATTAAGATCGATCTGCGGGCCGGGGGACGGGGCGCCACACACGAGCCGCCGGGAGCGCCTCTCCGGGGCTGTGCAGCCGCCCGGTGCTCTGCGCAGTGCCCCTCAACCCGGCGCCGCGTTCGTGCCCCTTCCTTCCACGCCCCGCGCCGCCCCCGCCTTCCTCCCTCTCCCTCGCCGTTTCGAGGCACCCGCCTCACCACAGCCGGGCCCCTGCATCACGACCCCCCCCCCTGCCGGTAGGGGGCAGGGCGGCCCGTCCGCCCACCGGCTGCGGCCGCACCGAGAATTTGAAAGGGCACCCTGAATCACCTCCCTAAATCCCGCTGCTGCTCACCACTGCCCCGCCGGCCCCGCTGAGTTGATGATGCTGGACGCACAAAAATTACATGCGCTCGAGTCAAAAACAAAGCTTCCCTTGCGCCAAGTACCCGCGCTGCTGACGTGTCGAGTCAGAGCGCGACGCGTGGCCGCACACCGGAGTGCCTGGGAGCCAGCCGCTGCGCGCCCTCCCTCAACCCCCTGTGATTGCCTGCCACCGCCCGCCGCGCGCCAACCATGGCGGACGGCGCGCGTCCATGCATTGGCCCCAGCGCACCCTGCAAGCGGCGTCAGGCCGCCCGCGCCGGCGCGCGCCGCGCCACGCGAGCATAAAACCCCCTGTTTTTCTCTCCTTCCTTCGCCTAGCTCTGCGCCCCTCGGCGCACACCACTGAACAGCACCTGTAACTGTGCCTCTGTGTCCGGCAGCTGCCTCCTGCGTTGCTTTTTGGGGGTCTCAGACCCCCGAAGCGGGTTTAGCTTGCGTGCTGGCAAGGCAAAGACTTAGCGCCTGAGCGTTGCACGGCAACCCCGCTCCCCAGACCGCCAATATGGTACGAGCTGGCCGCGAGCTGGCGGCATGCGGGATGGCCGCAGACCGCATGGTGCCGGTCAAACGCCAGTCAAAGCGGGAGTGTCGCCGCTGCGCCCGGGTGTGACCATACTGCACGGGCGGATTGTCGGAATGTTTTCTGCCAACATCTTTGGTCAGGAAGGTCTGTGCTGCCGAGGCCGCAGCAGATGCCGGCCGTTCCCTGTGCCGGCAGACAACCGCATGCATGGGCGCCCGCGGTCGAGCCGCAAGCCCGCGCGACATGGGTGGCAGGCGCCGTTGGCGGGTCGCGGTTACATTGGCAGAGGTGCAGAGTTTGTGGGGGGCCCTTCAGATCGGGCGGCGGGGACCGCGGCAGAGCAGGGCACAGTACTGTATGGATAACAAAACCGCCACGTCGCCGTAGCGGTGCAGAGGTGCAGAACATCGCATCCCAGAATTGACAGCGCTACTTAAACACGACGTCAACGAATGCAGCACATTGCTCCAGGACGGGGCGCGCAGTCACGGCGTGGGTGGTAGTAAGGTTGTGGTGCAACGGGTCAGGTCGGGTCGCTGGTTGGGGTCAATTGTGGCAGGTCAGGGTCAAACGTGCTGGTCAAGACTGGTGCATGCATGCGTGCACACACGCGTCGCGGCGCACCCAACGACGGGTCAAGAAGAGCGGGGGACACGGCCGGGCGCGGTGGCAATGACAAGGCCCCGCAACGGGCAAACTAGTGCCAGCCCAATGGACCGCCAGGCGCCCGTTCCCGCATGCATCGTCGAGGGTTGCGGCGCAGGCGTCGAAACCGCGCGTGCGATTCGACAACGCCAAAGCGAGCCAGGAGCCTCTGCCGCGGGGCCTTCGTCGGCGGCGCCCAGGGCGCGCCGGATCACACTGCCGCCATCGCGCGGAGGTCTGGGGCGATCGAGATGTCGCCGTAGGGCGCGGCCTGGCTGAGCCGCGCGAGGCCGCGGTTCTGCAGCACCAGGGACTCGTAAAACCACCGGCACGCGTCCAGCCGCGCGCGCCCGTGCGTCAGCGCCGCCAGGCTCACCTCCGCCGAGGCGGGGTCCGCGGCGCCCGCGTCCCCGCACGCGCCGCCGTC